ATTCTTTAGAAATAGAAAAAAAATTTAGTTATTTTTAGTAATTTCCACAATAATTAAAAATATAATATTTATAATTAATTAACAATTTTTAATATTACTGCTAATGCTTCTAAGCTTACACGCAGGTTCCGTCGCCAAATTTGCTCATTACATTCAGAAATTTAACTTCAATCTTTACTTTGACGAAGGTGTGGCCGCGCTGCTTTCTAAAACCACGTAAATTAAATGTACTGGACTCTCAACCAGTTCCAGGGCCGATTCAATGTCCAATTTTAATTGAAAAGCATAAAAAGAGGTGGAGGTGAATGCCGGCGAGAGACCGGTTTTTTAAGGACTACAGTAGAAGACAGTGCTTACTCTCGTGATAGCATGAAATGGAAATTCTACGACGATGTGCAGTTTTTAGATGTCACAGCGTGAAATCAGTAAGAATATGTGCATGAGGATTATTATAGGTATAAACACTTTTTTTTATAGGATGGAAATAGATTTGGACATTGAGCCTATGCTGGAGTTGATTGAAAAATCAGCACCTCCTACAATAGTAGAGGAAGCGCAAACTAAGATAGAATCTTAGAAACAACAACCCCCCTCTTATATTTTAGAACTAATTGTTGCACCATCAGCGCAATCCGTCCCTAAAATCAATTGAAGCAAGAATACAGATGGAAGAGTCAGAAGCTTTCTCTTTAGAATTTGGAGACGTAAATCATGATTCTTCAGTAAAATTTGAGTTAAGCGATACCGACTTTAAAGCACAACGAAAGGTAAATTTGGCAGCCTATTTCACATGATTTATTACTGAGCGTTTACTTTCAGCTATCAACGTGGCTTAGACAGTATCTGTACTCACACTGGTGATGCTTCTCGATAGCAGAAGATAATTTGCTTAACAATTCGTCGGTCCTATTCTGCAATACTTGCGATGAAGTCTATAGCAAAATAGCTGCTTCAAAAGTCGTAAAACTTACATAAGATGCCAGCGGATCAAAGTAGTGTTATGGCATTTAAGGACCTTACAGTGTAACTAAACAAGTCCGAAACGTTATAGTCACAAAAATAATTTGAAAAGACGTACGAAAAGAGCACATTTTAACAATGAGATGAAAATTACCCCTTTTAAGGCTTATTGTTTTGAATTACGTATAAATAAGCAAATTTTAGTGCTAAATACATCATTGATCGCCTGTCTAAACGCAGTTTCCTTAAAAAATAGTGCGGAGCTTAGAGAGTGTAAAATGATATCTGATAAAACACAATAAGTGTGGCACATCATTTCAATATTAACGCGTGTGTGTCTCCATTCTGTTGATGCGCCGCTTAAGTAAGATGTATGTAAGACTTGAGACGTTCAGAAAGTGTAAAATATCATATGATAGATTAATATAACGAAGATGATATTTTACATTATATAACGTGTCGAAGATTTTTTGACAGAAATGACGTTTAAACAACTTGCCGGAGGAATGAATTGCCAAAAATTTATATAAAAGAAACTAGAATATCAAAACAAAAATATCAACGACTGGCGGGCATAAAAGTTTTGCTTATCACTATTGTCAAGTTGGATTCCATAATGGGTGCAGGGGTCAAGAAGATGACGAAAACGGAGTTATTCATCTGTTTATAGTTTGCTGTTAAAAGTCAAGAGTTTCCCGCTAAAATGCATGGGCTCTTTGTAAACAATTCGAACTCCTCTGTTAATAGAAATTTGCACCACACTTCTGTTAAATGAGAAATTGGGGACGCATTTTTGTAATGCCGGCGGGTGCCGCCGTTAGTCCCCATTAAACTTCGTTCTCAAACTGCGGGAGCTTATTAAAATTATGAAGATATTCCTTTCTAAACATAGATGCATTCATATGGAAAAAATATGAAGTCGTTCATATTCTAATTACAATCGCTTTGAAAACAGTCGAGTAACCTACCGATTTTCACGAGAAGAATGGATATGACTAGACTCTTGATGTGTACCATAGATTATTTGTTTTATTGTGAAATATAAGCGGATATTATTAGGATAATCATAAAATCATATGCAAAGTAGTTATCGAGTTAGATTTTACTCTTCAAGATTTAAGTGAACAAATTAATTCATACATATTTGTTGGAAAATCTTTTAAAAGGAAGGATGATTTATTTGTGTGTAGACGTGTACGCAATAATTTGTTGAAATGTTTCAAGGCAGCCTTTATAGACGAACGTAAGAATGACATGGCAAGATAGCGCTTTTTTTCTTATAAAAAATATAGAAATCGAATTTATTCCACCGTTTTTAGTAACCGTGTTTTTACATCCTAACTGTCGCTTTATGTGCACTATTAATCTTACTCTTGAACAATTAAACGTTACGAAATGAAAAGATCGAAGAACATATTCTTAAATGATGCTTTGCGATTTAACTATTATAATCAGTTTTCGTGTAAAACATTTTCTTTTCCGCTGTAAATAGGTGTCAATACTTGCTATAGGGTATGAATTTAATATTTGTGTAAGTTACGTAGTAAAATAAATATTGGGCTTAGAGAGCAAAACCCCTCTACATGGAAAAGTTATCGGATATTAATAGGTGAAATTTCTACAACAAAATCCAAAAATAAGCACTACTTCCTTTTCTTCGACTTTAAACGTTTACCCAAATTCACAACAATCAAATCCAACGTACCTTTAAAATTTTGGAATAAAAGTCCTTCATTGAGTTCTCCAAACATGTGGAATTATATTTCTCGAGTGTAATGCTATCCAAAACTTTGGTAAGATAATCGTACGTTTTTGGGAAATTACGTATGACTGCATGATGACTAAGAGAATCATAACCTATACATAAGTATGTTGAAATGAGAAGGAAACTTAGAAGCATGTAATAATTGTAGCAAGTTGCCGTTATTTAATGGAAGTGGTATAGGCTGTTTTGTACACCATCTCGTATACCGTAAGCAAAACGAAGTAAACTATATTATTACTTGGCACGGTTTTGTACATTACCACTGAGGTACCGCGATAGGCGCGTTACCAATTCTTTTGAATGCCTGGCTCCCCTGTAAGCCTGCACTATTGTAAACTTAAAAGTAATATATATATATCAATAATAATAAATAAATACAAGCTGCGTTTATACATTGTCATGGTACTAGCCCCTTTGTTGCCGGTAAAGCGTATTTGTTAACGGGGTTTGGATTTCTGAGCCTCATGACAAAGAATACAAAAAGTCTCGTCGGTTGTCTATCGTCCGTCTGTCCACCGTGAGTCCGTCTGTAACCGTCCGACGTCCTCCCTACGGTGCCATCACATGCACGCTCCCTCACCTGACCTCAGCCACAGCGGTGGCAGTTTGCACTCAGCCACACATCGGGGCTCCTCCGTAAATAGGGGACAAGAAAAAGGAACAAAAAGGAAATAAATGCAATAAAATACCTGACCGTGAATCTGTATGTTGCTAGTGTCCGCGGTGGTGGCTGCTTACATCATCTGGTTCCTTCTTACACTCTCGCTCTCTTATTCCCCCCTTTTCCTCTTCCTCTTTACTTCGTTGTGTTGCCTCCTCCTTTTTTTTGCGTAATTTAAAGCGTTTGTTCAATGAATTTTATTATGAATTTCATTGACGATCAATGACGTACGTCATATTACTGCTGTCGTTTCTGTTATCGTTGTTATGGCCGATTGTGTTCGTTTCGTTCTAATTATTTAATTTTTTCTTCTTTACTTTAAGAAAAAACAACTCCATTTGGTGAGATATAATTTCCAATTTACCTAAATTAAATTTCTGTTTTTTTATTTCTTTGGTATAGTGAACCACTTCTTTTGTAAATTCTCCCCTTTTTAAATATTTCAATATTAACAACTTTTTCTTAATGTGTATTATTTCCCCAAGGCTATTGTAATAAGAAGTGTATTTTATACAAAATTTCCATAATTTTATCTTATTTACATTCTCCTTAATGTTTATTATTTCGCAAAAGCGTCAATGACGTTTAAAATTAATATATTCACACACGAATGCTATGCGCTTTGCTTGGTGCCCGCGAGACGAAGAGAAACGGTAGCTTTATCCAATTATGCTTTGGTTTCTCTTTCACGACTTGCTTTAGTTAAGAGACATTTTTCAATCACTCTTCAAAAATTTTAATAAATTTTGAGCTTTTCTTTTATTCTTTTGATATGAGGGTCGTTTCTACAAACGAATTCAGATATTCATGTGTGAGTGGCTTTTATTCGATTTTTTTTCACTTTCAGTCATTGCTTTGTTGAAAAAAATATTTTTTTCTACACACACTTCTCTTTAAGTGGCTCCTAGTATATGGGTTTTTCTTAAATATTTTCTTTGTTATTTTACTTATTATTTTTTTCTATCAAATACACAATTTCTTTACATAATTTGTATACACTCATTCGTACATGCATTTTTATATTGCACACATGGAAATTTAACGAAAATAGCAGTAATGATGATTTCCCCACATTTCTTTACTCGATGCAAGCAAACCTTTTTTTTTTAACGTTTAACAATTACTTTATCCCTGCCGACTTGTTTTTCTTTTATAAAGTTCTAGTTAATAACTTCTTTTTCCATTATTTTTAGACATTATTTTGCAAAACTGTAAGCTTCAAGCGCTATTTTACCTTCTTTACACGCGAACTTTGAAAAGATCTCTCACATTAATTGCTGTTAGTCTTTTGTCCTTTTTTTTTTCTTTCTTTGCCCTTGAAGGCTCAATTTTAAAAATAGTTTTATTTATCCGCTTTTAGACCAAGCTGGCGGACACGTCCGCACCTCAGCAGAGGCCAAGTAATTCCCCCCTCTATCTTCGAAACAAAACACAGACAGACTTCTCATCTCTGCTCAATTCTTCTCTTCTTCTTTCTGTTGCTCTCTATAGCGGCTTGCCGCTACTCTCGCAAAAGCAAGCAAAATCCCGCAAGATCATGCGATTTTGCTTATTCTTGTAAAAGCAAAAGAAAAAGAGAATACCGCAAAATCACATGATTTTGCCTATCTTAATGAAAGGGAAAAGAAGAAAAGAACAAAACAATTATATCCCGCAAGATCATGCGATTTATAAACGGTACCACAAAATCACACGATTTTACCTAATGGCATGCCGTTATTGCGATACTTGCGGTTGACGCAGACCGACAGACACTCTACCCAAGGTTTGTTCGCGGCCGTTACAACATAATATACATACTCAACACATAAAAACTACTTATAAATAAGTAATGACTGCTGGTACGCCGGTGTGTTGATATCTCCAAAAGTAAAATCTGCTGTCTGCAGATTCGTCGACTTCAGTTTCATCTAGGCCATAGAGATTTTCCTCAGTGTACTCACTATCACGCATAGAAATTTGGTTTAATTTTTTCCTTGTGTTTTCGTTACTATAATTCACAACGTTTTTCTTTCCTTTTATAATTGCGAACCTTTGATCATAGCCATCCTATAATATTTTCATACCCTTAAGTTCTAATAGCTAGCGGCGTTTTTCGTCACTTTCTGCCTGCAGGCGAAACCACTGCCCCATACCTATCCATCTACATTATGTAAAAAAATAATTTAAAATTATTGTTGCATAACATTCGCATAACGTACTTTCTCTGATTTTCCGCTATACAACTAACTTTAACGAAATCGAAAGCTTGTAAAACGTACGGCTCTCATGAGTACGATGTGGATTTGCTGAAACGAGACTTACAGACATTCTTCCGTATTTTGTCCGCATAAGAGCACATCAAATGAGAAAGCTTCGCTGAACTTCTTTTAAATAAGAAATTTCCGCTACAGTTCTGTTAAATAGGACTTTGAGGATCATTACTACAACGTTTCTATTATCAACTGATTTCTATTGACATTAAGTTGGATTGTTTCAAA